GTATAATATTCTCCTCCTATATCGAGCTCTGAAATATTTTCTATGCGCTTCAAAACACCCTGATACAGAGAATATTCCTATAGATTATTCTGATGAGGATATTCTTCATATTATAAATATAAAAAATGATTCAATATTTTGTCCAAAACCTCTTGATTCTAGTCGCTTACGCCTCTGATTTCATATTTTCAATTCTTACCTGTTCATCGTGATATGTTTCACTCATTCACTGTGGTTTCACCTGGTTTCACTATACAGTAAGGTGTACCTATGTTGTTTTTTTCGAGTTTTAACAATTGAATCGACGTCGTCATGACGAAAGGGCATAAGCGACATTTGGTGAATTTTACAGGAGGCGAAAATATCATTTTTTTATCACATACAGTTCAACTTCATTCTACAATTTCTGCATGAATATTCTACTAATATGCCCGTTTTATTTATGAAAAAAGAAATATCGAGAGGAACTTGAAACTTTTGAGTTATTTAATGAAATGTCGTTTACGACTTTTTTCAATTTCTCAGTGGCGCTTCATCCTTTTTTTAAGGCGCTTATACAAGAGTTGTTTCCATTCCCCATGGACGTATAAGACACTAGTGCACCGTTCAAAACTTGATAACTTTTTCAATGATAGCTACACATCTATGGCTACACCTACAGTGCGACACCTATCCTTGGATGCTCGAATCCCACGCCACGAGAAACGGTCGGTAAAACTGCGGATTTACGAGGTTTTAGTTTCATCAACAATATACAGATGACGTCGTTCAATATTAGTACCAAGGTTGGTAGGACTGATTATAATCATCTGTTCTACCAACCTTGATTAGTTTTAGTGCCAACACTTAGGGTGTATACTGTGGTGCCAAGCAATGAACTCTACATACAGTTCATTGGTGCCAAGTTGTACCAAGGTTGGTAGGACTGATAATTATCTGCTGTGCCACAGTAGAGAAGCTTGTGCCAACCTTGATTACTTTTTTTTTATGTTCTGGTTCCCACGAAAAGGGATATCCTGTCATGTTCAGAGAACATCGTGAAAACCAAGGGAAATAAGGTAGGAATTGGTGTTCTTCTTGAATTTCTGGAGGTTATATGCTCAATGCGCAAGAAACCTCAAATTGTCGTTCATGACATCGATTCATGTTTCGGAAACATGAGTAAGAGTGAGTAAGATATATGTGACAGGTCACCTCGATCAGTTTGATCTCGTGAGAGTCGTGAGACTCGTGAGCGGCTTTTTTCTTATGGCATTAGCGGTATAGTTTATGTCGGTGCCTAAGACAGACACTGAATATAATATTTCTCCCTCGATCCTCCTGTAAGTAAGTAGGAGAGTCTCACAAATGACGTCATGTCTAATCAATACCCGAGATAATACCGAATATACAGGGTGTATTTGAATAACACCGAAAAAATTCAAGGGGTGATTCCTTGGGATATTTAAGGAAATAAAGTTCATATAAAGATGTGTCCTAACTTGCTTCCTTTTCGAGATACAGGGTATTAATATCTCCATGAAAAATCGTTTTTTTTTTCTTCATTACTCAGTTGTCTTTTCATCATTACTCAGTTGTCTTTTTATCATTACTCAGTTGTCTTTTCATCAATTTCAATAAAACGTTGTGGTTTTGTTTATGAGGCTTCGTCTGGTGCAATCAGATTCGAAATAATATTTCCAGTGGCGTCACAGTGGGTAAATTTATCGATATTTTTTATTTTGAATGTCATTGTACGCCACCGTTTTTTCTGAGTTTCATATTCTTATTAAATTGAACTATTGAAATAACAACTTTTTTATCCTTTGTATAATTTTTGAGGAAACAATAAAAATTCGATTCTACTCCAAATTATAATGCAGGCGTGTTTTCAAGACTTCCATTGAGATTACTCAATAACCCCAATTAGAATCATTTCGAAATTTTTTGACTTTCTCAGTCTCCAATACCATACTGAATTTTGGCACCATGAAAGCTTATACAGGGAGGTTATAAATAAAAACAATCAATACTTCCAACTTCAACATCCTGTATCTCAAAAACGGAGCAAGTTAGGACACATGGTCATGTGAACTCTATTTGCTAGACTATCACAAGGAATCACCCCTTTAATTTTTTCGGTATTATTTAGATATACACCCTGTATACCTGAGAAATAAACGTCAATTTGAGGTATAAATATGCTGCCAACGGCTCATGCTGCAAACTCCATTCTCGTTGGGAAATGACTATTATTCCGTGATCCGTGCTCGTTAATCAATATACTAATTATATCAATTCAAAGTGCTAAGAAGCCGGAGTCGGGAGAAGCCCAATCCTGAGATCCCATACTGATGAAAAATAATTGAACAGTTTGGGCACCTCCCTTACCTGCCCTAGGGTTTTACCAAACTTCATAGTTGGAGGATATAATTGGAATATCCAGATTGAAAATGAATGGAGTGGATGTCGAAGTAGATACACGGGTGAACTGTGATAGTGAAAGTTAAAGAAATTGGATTTCAAAAATAGTTTATGTTGACGTTATTATCACGTAGTTGCCTCCCACCACCTTCACCGAAATACTCTAACTGGGTTTAACGGGGAATGTGAATGAAATATCCCTCTGAATGAGATTACTGCAAGTAATAAGTTGCAGAATTTCGAATCACTGCACGTTACAAGTTGCAGTAATTCGGTTTCATTTTTTTTTTTTCATTTTTGGTGGTCTCTCTACGCTTTCGTACTTGAAGAAACAGAATTAAAAAAACGACCCTCGCATGCATAGAGCCGACGTGGCATTCGAATACACAGTCAACTGCGCTACGCTCCTAACTACTTGAAAATTATAGTATGAAGAAAGAATTTAGTCAACAGTAAAAAAACAAGAGCTTTCTTCGGATAAATTTCGCTTCTTAACAAAACAATTTCCCAATCTCGACTATTCGGTCTCGCAATTTAATCATGTCAGTTTTCCGAGTGTAATGAATGATGGAAAATGTTTGAGCTAGTAAGCAAACTTATTCAATGGAAAGAAAAACTTTCAATGCTTTTTGGCAAGATGAATGAACGACAATATATAAATAAACAACAATAAATACCTTCATTGATGATATCGTGTTTCTTGTAGTGTGCGGAAAAGATTTTTTTATAATTATTGTGATTCCTCCAGAAAAAATTTTAGCAAAACGGCTCATCTTACGAATTCTCGTTTGAACAATACCCAACAATCATACTTGAAACGACAGAAATTGTGACAGGCGCATACTAGATGAAGTTTGATGGTTTAGAGGAACAGGCATTTTCACAGCGACTATTCCACTCTTATTTTCGAGAATCAATCAGAATCGACCATTGTCACAAATTCTCCTGTATTCCTGTGATATTTTTTGTTTAATAAAATTCATCAGACTTGCTCTACCCAGGGTCCCTTGATGGAAATTGACGTTAAAGTCATATAACAGGGTACGGACAGATCCTCGTCTCCTCTTACTCTAAAGTGTTTGTGAAACAGTTATATAGTTCTATCCTTATTCAATTCTGGGGATAAACACTAGATTTTTGACATTTGTTGTTTTCTAGGTTATATTGAGGTCACTGGCGTATCATACGTAATTTCCTTATGGAATTCCTACTATACCAAGATATAGATGAAAAATCTTCTAGTTTCAGAGTTTACTACTCCAGCATAATCTTTGCGAGGTAGGGGACATGCTTATGCTTAGTAAATTTCACCAAAAGAGACTGTTCTTAGACTGTATACCAGGGTAAACTGAATTGACTGATTGAATTATGATTTCAAACTGAGCAGTAGTTAATCTATGAGCTGAATGAGCTGAGCCTTATGATTGAGAAATGGTGAAAACCTCGATGTGAGTATCTAAACTACTGTGTACTCATGTAATGTGAGCTAAATATATTTTGGGAAATCGAACTCGAAGAAGAATTTATGGAGTGACTAATATCAAACTACGTACCTATAAAATTTCGTCTAGGACGAAAAGTAGGCTAATAAAAAGTAATACGTAAAATGTGCAGGGAAATAAAGAATACAATATACTTCACCCCCATGTTATACATATTATGATTCTTCCGTCTCCCTTAAATAAAAAGTCATTTCAAATAATTTATTGATGAAAGTAACAAACAAGTAGGTATACGCAGTAAATATAACTTATAGGCACATTATTTTCAATCTTGCATTCTACATATTTTCTATTTGTGGTAGAGAATTAATTATATAAACTAATGTCTTTCCCCATATTGGATCCGTCATCTTGGATTTTTCAATTTTGACGAAACAATCATTATCTCCTACCCCGAAAACCCCTAGATATCAATTTTGGATAGAATCGAATCTTCATTACAAAACTTATTCGCCATATGATCTTCCTCAACAAGTAAACACCCTGTACATACATATTATTGAAATTTTGAATGATTTTCTGTTGCGCCCATGGATGTGACGTGACAGCAATGTCAGGGATGCCAGTAGACAAAACTAAAGTCTCTAGATCATTAAAAAATAATGCAGCTATGATCTGTCCGTACCCTGTTATATGACTTTAACGTCAATTTCCATCAAGGGACCCTAGCTCTACCAATACAGAAGCCGAATTGATCCACACATGATCAACCAATCCCGTTTTTCAGCGATATATTTGACGTTTATAAGGTAAATTATGTTGGAAGCCAGAATGATGGATGAAGCGTGCGCAACTGTCGCGAGGCTCGAAATATTTGATAAACAATGTCATTCGCGATATTCGCGATATTATTAGCAATGAACTCAATATAAACGTTCATTGATTATAAGGCAACAAGCTGTCGTAACAATCGCCGAATATTTCAGGCAATCAAGTAGAGGAGTGGATTTATCGACACAAGCAGTTGCCCGCTCAGGCTGCTAGACGCTTTCACAAGGATTATCTTTTGCACCCTGTCTGTACTCAGAAGCGTCTTGTGAGTCTCCAAACGCTTCTGCCGCTACCGGCCAAGTTGTTTACATTCATTTCATTGCCGGCCACTGATATGTGTATCATGCACGAGTATCATGTGTGATGCCACTGATCCGCTGTCTTTTTGACGATGTTTTGTTTTTGTTGAAGTGTCAATGAAATGAAGTATGACGTATGAAGTCAGAATTGAGGTTACGTTGGTTTGTTTATGTTGTCATTGTTGTCTTTACCCTTTCAGTTAGAAATAAGAAAAGTGTTCAACAAACAATATTTTATCATCTATTTTACGTATTGATTGTTTCTTTTGTCGTTGATAAAGAAAAATGTCCAAAGATACCCATGTAGATCGTGATTTAGATCTATCAAACGCTAATAGAGGAGTTTGGCTAGTGAAAGTACCAAAATATGTTGCAGAACGTTGGGAGAAAGCACCTAGTGATTTGGAAGTAGGAAAATTGAAAATAGCAAAGTAAATATTTTGAGTTATACTATTAGTTCAAATTTTAAAATTGATTTCATTTGTGTAATTTTAGGCCTGTAGGGCAAAAAGCACAAGTTTCATTGACTCTTTCATCTGCTATTCTGAATTTAAATGAACCTGGTCAAGAGAGCATCCCAAAAGATCATCGTCTTGATGTTTCTACAGTCACTCAACAAACTCTTGGAGTGTTTTCTCATGTTATCCGTATGTATATCATCAATGAAAACAATAAACTAATAATGAACTATATTAACAAGTCCATTTACAAGCTCAAATTTAATGTCTGATTGTCTTGCAATTCCTAGGTACATGTCCTTCAAATGTAAATTCTATAATGAAGCAACTAAAACACAGCTAGAGAGGAAACTGATAAAGGATCCCCTACATAAATTTTGTTGAAAACGAGGTAGAAAAATATTTTCCATATTCTCATTCTGGTTTCCTTTTTTAGCTACAAATACTGATTCTGTGGTACCAGAAACAGAAAAGTTATATATGGAAGGAAAAATAGTTCAAAAATTAGAATGTAGGCCATATGCTGATAACTGTTATATGAAACTGAAACTGGAATCTATTAGAAAAGCTTCTTTACCAGCAAGGCAAGTGAAACAGCTAGATAGAGTTGTACAGGCATATAAACCAGTTTCAGATCATAAAAATAATGTGAGTATTTACCTATACATACTAGCCTACTATTGATCTCAGGATTTACCTTAGTAATTTTTGGGGTGAACTGGGTATTCATAGATTATCAATTTCTAAAAAGTGACTATACCTAATTTGAAAAGGAGAAAAATATTTCTTTTCATGTGCTGTGATTCCTTTTGGTCAACCTCTAAGCTAGAAAACCTACACAGAAATCAAAATCATAATAATTATGAGAATTACAAAGTCATAGATAGAATATGCTTTATTGTCTAAAGATGTAAAATCTTATTGATAAAGTGAGTCAAAAAATAACCTTGAAATAAAAAACAAAAACTAGAATCAGAGGAAATCACTACTAAGACCAGGCACCATAACATTTAAAATTGATTTGAAAGTTAAACACTCAAAAGCTAGTTTATAAGGAATATATTACAACATATTAAATGTATCATTGAATAACTCTTGTAAACTAAATAATAAGGTTTATTGGAAAAGAGTGCTTTTATTCTCTGTTTGAATTTTGTATTGGATCCAACTCCTTTAATGTCTTTTGGCAAATGATTGAACATCTTATAGCCTACATAAATTATTGAATTTCTTACTAGGGGTATTCCAGGTTTTTGTATTTCTCTCCATATATCAACAAAAATGGCATCATTATCATAGAATCTGTTTTACCAAGGCTATTTTGAGGCTTCAATTATTGTAATATTGTAGTGGTCCTTGCAGTTCTTTGCCTCTCATTTTTCTGATTCACCAACTTTCATATATGAGGAATCTCAACATAACACATTTGTATTTCCAATCTGAAAATCATTAGTGTGGTCATATAGTTCATGGCCCTATGATGAATACTCTGTGGAATAATCAAGTAGATGGAATGTTTATTTCTCTAGATTCTTCGGGATTTCTCTCATTGTTTCTATGAGAAATTGAGATATTGTAATGGTCCTTGCAGTTCTTTGTCTCTCATTTTTCTGATATACCAACTTTCATATATGAGGAATCTCCACATAACACATTTGTATTTCCAATCTGAAAATCATTAGTGTGGTCATATAGTTCATGGCCCTATTATGAATACTCTCTGTGGAATAATCAAGTAGATGGAATGTTTATTTCTCTAGATTCTTCGGGATTTCTCTCATCGTTTCTATGTGAAATTGAGATATTACAGTGGTCCTTGCAGTTCTTTGTCTCTCATTTTTCTGATTTACCAACTTTCATATATGAGGAATCTCCACATAACACATTTGTATTTACAATCTGAAAATCATTAGTGTGGTCATATAGTTCATGGCCCTATGATGAATACTCTCTGTGGAATAATCAAGTAGATGGAATGTTTATTTCTCTAGATTCTTCGGGATTTCTCTCATCGTTTCTATGAGAAAACAATATTAGTATTATTTCAATACACTTATGGTAACCAGACGTACTCTTTTTATTGTATCTACAAGTACTCTTTTTCGAGGCTGCTGTCCTTGGTTACCGGAAATATGATCAAAAACTATTTTATCGATATGGGATAATAAGGAATGTGAACAAACTGAAAAACGATCAGGAAAGAAAAAATAGTTATTTATTATACAAGAGATCCAGGGAAAAAAGTAGGGAGCTAAAAACATATTTTTCCCGTGCATAATACATTATTATTTTCTGTGTCAGGAAAAAGGAGGAATCAATATTGAGATAATAGGTATTTCATATTATAATAGTATCAGTAAATTATCGACGTGAAATTTGAAGTTTCCAACAGGAATGACACCTGCGTTCGGGCATCTTTATCATTCTTCTGAAGTAATCAAATATCTGTCAGTCTTATTCTGTGATTTGATTTAAAAAAAAATCAAATCTAGTAGTTGTTTAGTAATTTCTTAAACCGCGAAGTCCTAACTCCAGGAGCACATGAACATATAACACGGCTCCCTCTACTGCGCATGTCTCCCATCTTCGTCCGTGACGTGCACTGTCAGGTTATGAATGTTTTCCATTTCTTAAAGAAGAATTGAACTTTGCAAGTACACCTCTATGAGTAGGTCATCTGGGAACGAACATCCTAATCCCATGCATAGATTGAAAGTTAGACTTATGACTTGTTTTCTCTTAGTTTTTAATGTTATCAGAACGTGTCTGAAAGTCATCTAATGACCTTGGCAACCGCGAATACAAATACACAGCTAGTATGAGTTTTAAACTGACACTTACTTTGTTCATATTGTTTCCATGGTATTATTTTTGAGAAATCTAGTGATTGGAGTCGTTTTTACTGCAAAAACCACAAGTATATTATACTCACATTATACAGGGTGTTGAAAATTTCAGTATCTAGATTTCAAGAACTTATTTTTCAGGTTGAAAAACGACTGGTAAAACTGTATTTATCATGCGATGGTTTTTTTTTCGAAAATTTTTTCTGGTACTCACGTATTTTCGTCTGAAAAACACGAATTTAATAATGAAAATATGAACAAACCATTATTCATTAAGATATTTCACTATAAAGTTACAAATTTCACCTTATTTTCCGCCTTTCTTCTCGATCGCATTTATGACAATTTGCCCTTCTTTTTTCATCATTGGACAATTTATATATATATCACAATGTACACATACATTTTTTTCTATTATAGGAGTCAACTAGAAGCATGATTTTCTGTTGACATTTGACATCTCGTATTTGGATTGACTATTGATTAAATAACCGTCATCTGAACATTATTTCCTGTTGAATTTTTTATATTTAAAAATGTGTCATTGAAGTGCATCATGAGTATATATAGTCTCCAATGACAGAATAAAAAGAGCATATTACCTGTAAATGCATCCAAAACACAAGGGGACAAAGGCGAAATTTCGAACTTTTTTTTTTTAAATATCTCGATAAATAATGGTTTGTACACATTTTCATTATCAAATTCGTGTTTTTCAGACAAAAATACCAAAAAAACTTTTCGAAAAAAAAACCATCACATGATAAATACAGTTTTACCAAGACTTTTTCTCCGTAAATACATTTTGTCCACAATCGCTTCGTTTCCAATTCATAGAGCGTTGAAGTTTCAGCCCCTGAGTTTTGAAACACCATGTATATGTATATGTCTACCTGGTCCTAAATGAATAACTATTTTTGTGTTCCATATAAACTGTACCATTTCAACTTATTTCAGATTGAGTATATGGAACGTAAAAAAGCTGAAGGCAAAAAGGCTCGTGATGATAAGGATTCTGTACTGGAAATGCTGTTTGCTGCCTTTGAGAAACATCAATACTACAATATCAAGGATTTAGTTAAAATAACTAAACAACCAATAACTTATCTGAAAGAGATTTTGAAGGAAGTCTGCAATTATAATTTGAAAAATCCTCACAAAAACATGTGGGAATTGAAACCTGAATACAGGCATTACAAGCAGGATACTGCAGAGACTGAATCAAAGAAAGAAGATTCTGATGACTAAAATTCATAAAAGAAGCCAACTGTGATTTGTTCTACCATTCAAGAACATTTAAAAAATATGTTCTTTTATATCTAAATTATTTGTCATTGTTATTCATACATAAGCAAAACAAAATGTCACTTGAATTTATAAAACAATATATACATACATTTTATGATATTTAAAATATATTTTGGTTATCAAGTAGGTATATGCTGCTAGGCAAGATGTATAGGGTCTCCTTGAACTTTTGTTGAAAAATCATTTCAGGGTGGTCAAACTATTTGGACAGACACCTTCTCGGAAACTGTCAAGTAAGGCAACATTTTGATAGGAACATGATTAAAAAATGCACCGATGGAAATATTTTATTTGGCTGATCCACGCACTGTATACCAAATTTTATTGGTATACAGTGTCTCACGTCCTCGTATGTGAGTCGTTTGTTTGTGGACTGAGATTGCTCCTCGTACATTACATTCCAGTTGACATTCGGGCACAGAACAACAAGTTCTGTCGACGCGCAATCGATGCGCACAATGATCTAATAATATAATAATATACTAGAGTATATATTATTAGATCATTGGATGCGCACTGGAAAAAAAAATAAATGTCAAAGTTCAAAGGATGCCAACTGAACCTACTGTCTCGTGAAAGGATAATATACTGTGGTTGAATTAAGTAATCACAGAGATCAAACAAATACCGCACCGATACAATATAAGTAAGTAAGTATAAGTAGTGAACTAGAGGTCCAATATGGGGTGCCCCAAGGTACTGTCCTAGGACCAATATTATTTATTATTTATATAAATAGCTTATTCACTCAAAGTAGTGAAGGTCAGATCATCAGTTTCGCCGATGACACCACAATATTATATCAAGCAGAAAATTGGCAACTGCTCAAACAAAAGGCTGAGAGGGACATGAGAACTATGAAACAATGGATGGATTCGAAACTACTAACTATAAATTTTGAAAAAACGAAATTCATGACATTCACATGTACGAATAGAAACGGTCCTGATTACAACACTCTGGATATTGGTGATAATATACTCATATATAGAAATGAAACAGTTAAATTCTTAGGAATAACTATAGATCACCATCTTAGATGGGAACAACACATCCAAAATGTCACAGGAACCCTGAGATGTCTTTTGTTCAAATTCAAGGTACTGACGAATATTCTAGAACTGAAGGATCTGAAAGTAATTTATTACGCGCTCGTGGAGTCCAGACTTAGATATGGCATTATTGGATGGGGTGGTGCTGCGAAGCAATACTTAAAAAGACTTGAGGTCATTCAAAAAAAGATTTTGAAAATAATGTTAAAAAAGGAAAACACTTATCCATCTACAAAGTTATTTCAAGATACGAAAACTTTCGACATTCAGCAACTGTTTTGTTACTCAATTATTATAAATCAATTCGATAAAAAAGATGAAATACAAAGAATCAATCACATGTACAATACTCGCCAACGCTACACAAAGTACAAGACACAACTTGCACAAAAAACCATAGGAAAACGAAATTGTTATTACATATGCCCGAAACTATTCAACATACTTCCTAGAGAAATAATTGAAATTCGCACAAAATATCGCTTCAAGAAAAAAGTTAAACATTTTCTTCAAGTACTGGATAAGTCGGAACTGATTAAATTATTTGATTGACACGTCGTTTTCATGAGCTATTAAATTATCTACTGTAGTTATTTTGAATGTTTTTTTTTCTCAAGTATATATTGCTTTTTGTCTATATGTTAGTCTATGAAGGTGTATTGAATATTTTGATTCATATTATTTTTGTATCTTGATTCGTCAAATTTCTAAAAATATCAATTAATCATACATTCATTTAAATTTTATTCAAAAATACAATAGGTAATTAACTATTAATTCGAAAGATTATTTGAACATACTATTAATATCATGAACATAATAATATAAACAAAATGATAGATAAGATATCCCACGCACAGTCTTTTGACTTTGTGGGTACCTCCGGTTTATTGTAATATTGAGACTATATCATTATGTACTTATATTATGATTTTTGTACTACCCGATTGTATTTGTATATTTTTATTTATGTATTCATGTATTTGTATATTTCTATTTATGTATTCATGTTCATTATAATAAACTATTATTATATATTATTATTATTAATTCCAACAACAATAAAACGAAATTCACTATATCAATATAACTACCCAGCAAACACAGATACATCACAGAGATATCGCAGCGATGTAACAATGGTGACCTGCGATATCGCATTCTATGTCGCATAGACGTCGCTGCGATGTCAGGGGGATGTTATTTTGTCCCACTCAAGTTTCCTCGATGCGACGTCCCTGCGATAACTTCTCTGCAATATGACAGCGATATATTTTTTGCAATGTAATTGCGATATGTTATTTGTGATGGCAAAGCGAAGTGTTTTCGCGATGAATCTACCAAGTGATGCGATATTACATCGCAGGGATGTATACATATGACATCGCAAGGATGTATACATATGACATTGCAGGGATGTATACATATGACATCGCAGGGATGTAAACCTATGACATTACAGCGATGTACATTTATTACGCAGAGATGAGGTAATATGTAGGAAAAAATGTCAGGGAAGAAAAGTCTGATGAAAAAAATATAAATAAACATTTATTTTCAATATACAATGAACAAAACAAAATATGAAAGGTGATTCTCCAACAAAAAATATAAGAGTTATGGAATCCATGTTATTTCCTATCGTTTCTGGACATCACATTTGGACAAAATTTTATAAATTTAATATATATATAATATAATATAAATATTAGCTCTAGTCGAGACTTTAGTTGAAATTATCACATCATTGTCATCTGCTGCAACTCCTTCCTCAGAAACAAATTCTGAGAAAATTTCAGCACCAGCTCTCATGTTTCCTGAAGAATCCATTAATGCACAGGCGGCGTCAGAGACAGATGAATAATTGTTTGGACTACCATGATCGAATATATTCAAAATACCAGATATTTCCATTATAATTCGTCTTGTATGACGATATGAGTAAGATGAAAAGGAGCGCCTTGACATGGTTTCAAGTTCCAAGTGATTCCAATTTCCAAGTGAAAAATGAAAATTTATTTATACTCACCCCGGCTTTTAACTCTACTACTACAAACAGGAACACCAAGCGTGCTGGTGCCGTGTGCCGTGAAACGAAACGATGATGAAACGGAAACGACGCTAATAAAATACCTTCAGTGTTAACTGTCAAGTTCCAGTGTCACGACTGAGTCACGACTGTCACGAGTCACGACCAGTGTTACCACAATCTTCTTTTTGATCGAGGTAGATTCCTTGAACGAAGCGGTGTAGAACGATTTCGAAACGAGGTAGCTTCAATTAAATTTGATCAGCGACTTAAGTGAACTGTTTCGCTATTGTATTCATCCTGTCTCATAATCGAGCTCAAAAATACATGCGGAATTCTCGCGAGGGTAAAATGATATCGGCAACCTTGGACGGACCTACGGACTATGCGAAATTCGAGTATTGTATTACTCGTACATCGCAGCGACAGAACATTCGTATAATATCAAAGTGCTGCCTCATCGCGACATCTCAGAGATGTCATTTCGCAGATGTGTTTGCTTCTGTACATCGCAGCGATATGACATTCGTAATATCGCAGTGTTGCCTCATCGCGACATCTCAGAGATGTCATGTCGCAGATGTGTTTGCTTCTGTACATCGCAGCGATGACACATTCGTAATATCGCTGTGTTGCCTCATCGCGATATCTCAGAGATGCCATGTCGCAGATGTGTTTGCTTCAGGACATCGCAACGATGGAACATTCGTAATATCGCAGTATTGCCTCATCGCGATATCTCAGAGATGCCATGTCGCAGATGTTCGCTTATGTACATCGCAACGATAGAACATTCGTAATATCGCAGTGTTGCCTCATCGCGACATCTCAGAGATGTCATGTCGCAGATGTGTTTGCTTGTACATCGCAGCGATGGAACATTCGTAATATCGCATTGTTGCCTCATCGCGACATCTCAGAGATGTCATGTCGCAGATGTGTTTGCTTCAGTACATCGCAGCGATGAAACATTGGTAATATCGCTGTGTTGCCTCATCGCGATATCTCAGAGATGCCATGTCGCAGATGTTTGCTGATGTACATCGCAGCGATAGAACATTCGTGATATCGCAGTGTTGCCTCATCGCGACATCTCAGAGATGTCATGTCGCAAAAGTGTTTGCTTATGAACATCGCAGCGATGGAACGTTTGTGATATCGCACTGTTACGTAGACGCGACATCTCAGAGATGTCATGTCGCAGATGTGTTTGTTTATGAACATCGCAGCGATAGAACGTTTGTGATATCGCACTGTTACCTAGGCGCGACATCTCAGAGATGTCATGTCACAGATGTGTTGGCTGGGTATATCACTCCTTCGATATTCACTCTATACTCATAGAATTCTATTTTGTGTATTCGTTTTATTCAAAACCAGGTACCTACAATATAATCGACAATGCATCAATAATGGATTACCAGAAACAGGCCATTTGAATCAAATTATTATATGATCATTGAAAATAGGTAACTAGGTACCCATAACAAAACCCATGCGTATTTCCATATTCATTTTGTGAGTTCAGTAGATCCCTTTATTAATATATTTGATTATGATCATTTTCTGATTACAAACCTAGGTTATCTATTTGATTAGGAGCGATCAATTGTTTCTTAGGATTCATTCACGAATCAATGTTTCATTTCTCAAGACTACGACTCACGACTTACGATGTTTTTGGGACACCATGTAAATATGGTGCTGAGCCTCTCTGTACATTCGTCAGATTTTGTTCGTCAGGCTCGACTATGCTACTGCGCATCGACCGCGAGTTTCAATGCAGTGGGGACGCTTGTGAAATTTCTGTGGAAGTGAGCCTGTCTCGTGAAAGGATGATGCTTTGCGCTTTTCAAAAATATTTAACACTCATATAATATGATATTTTGACTATATTACCCATGAAATAAGATAAATAGTTTCTAGTTTTTCAGTGGATTTTTTATCGATGGCCCGATGGGCCTTGTAATATGTGGCAACATTGTCCATATCATAAATTTTCATATTTACTTTATTGCTGACACAATAATTTATGTCACACACTAGTTTCAATTTTAACAACATTCAAAATTTACAAATATTCTGCACTATGTTTATCAACAAAAACAGCTGCATGTTGGACCTTATTATAGAAGGTGGCTCTGGCCATGAAAAAAGCTAGTGCATAGAAATGTTTTTTATTCCCATTGTCACCTACCTGTCGAAATTTTTTATATGATATGGTGAATACTAAACCCGGATATGAAAACTACTGAAAATTAGATATGGTTGGAATATAATGTGGTTTCTAAAAGTTCGTAGTTTTGATATCCTGTATTATCATTTGCCGTTGTATGAAAATTTTGAAAATTCGACAGGTATTTGACGAATATTATGAAACATTCTGCATTCGCATTTTTATCATAGCCACCTTCTAATTAAGTCCACTGATTTTATAGTCAACAAATAGTACTGAATATTGATAAATGTTTGATGTTATTGGTAAAATTAAAACTAGCGTGTGATGAAATCAGCAACAGGGTAATACTGGGTAAATATGAAAATTCGAGATATCGACAATGTTGCCACATATTTTCAATGCCCATATCGATGGAAGCCTACTGAAAAACTAGAAATTATCTTAATTCGTGGCTAAATCTTGAGTGTAAGAGCTACAGAGAGGGTTAAATGGAGGCAAAGTTGCGCAATGTCAACAAAATGCCGTTCTAAAATTTGAAAAATTCACATACTTCCGAAGATTTTTGAAAAAAAAAAACGAATACTCACGATTTAATTTCTTGTTTTTCCTGACTCTATTTCTCTATTTGAATAGATGTAGTAATTAGTAAAACAAATTGCACATTATCTTTGCAACTTTTTTTGTTTTACGAGATGGTCGTGTTATCAGATTTTCAAATCGACGCTTCGTCGTAGCAATGAGGATGTGTAATTTGTTTTGTTACAATCTATTTATATAGTCAGAACACAATTAAAATGAAATCGCGAATATTCGTTTTTTTTCTCCAAAAATCCACGGAAGTACTCGAATTTCAAAACAGCATTTTGTTAGGCAACCCTCTCACCGTTCCCGAGATCCCCATGCATCTACTGGAATTTCACTCAACTGGTATAGAGTATAGATGGCGTTAACTCATGAATAAGATATACCATTTTGGAAAAAATATGTTTATTCATCAATATATTTTTACAAAAAATATACATTTGAAAAAAGCGCACTATGCGCACATAAAAAATCTGATTTTGAAAAATATAAATAAATGCATAAAAATGTTAACAGAGAATAATAAAAGAACACACAATTGTCTCATTTATACTGATATTAACAATGATTACTGATTAAAAACAGTAAGTATCCATCAAGGTACCTATATAACTAATTTATGCAACTTAATATATTTGTTTGATCACCACTTAGGTATTACTCAACAGTAAATATTATTTTGGCCTTACTGCAATTTTCACACTAATATCTCTTGTCAAGAAACTGCAGCAAGTTATCAGTCCAATTATTTTCTACAAATATTTGATAACAATGAAATTCTGCATTTAAAAGTCATTTTCATACCATCAAAAATGAATCCTTAGATTTCTACTTCTCTGCCTAAGTCTAATTTTTTACATTCTCAGTTAATTTGATTCCAGAGAATAGAAGCTATGGTAATCTTTGAAAAAAAATACTCAAGATGGTAACCAATTTCCTTCTTAATTTTTTAATAGAGAGAATATATCAGTCATGCTTCTGAAAGCTGATTGAAAATTATCATTGGATATCACCTATATTCAATATTATTCTGAAACAAATATCATATTTTTGATTCTTAGATCTATGGATAATAGTTTAAGCCAGATAAGAAAGCATAATATATCTTTCCTGTTAGCAACTGCCCTTTGGATAAGCCATAAGTGTGAAAAAGTAGGTAAGTTACATTGGAAATTTTGATCTGCAAAGTGCAAAATTGCAAATGGTATTTCTGCCACTATTAAAATTTATTAATTTTTACATCATTTTCCCACTTCTTGACTACAGGACAATTACTGAGAAATTCACATTTTGTTTTGAGAAGGCAACTTAAAAAAATCACAGTATGGAAAGTAGGAGGAATATTTCAAAACAGCTTGGAAGTACTGGGAATGAGGATGACATGGGGATCATGTAAAATTTTCTGATATCCTCAGTTCTTTAAATAATTACATGACTTAGATTCTTGATCTTCCTGATCCTCCACCACTCTTAACATCAAACAGCTTGCGGACAAAATAAACCTGAACAGCTGTTGTAGCCATCACTACAATAATTTGAATAATGGACCAGCGCACAACATACGAATTGTTATCTTGTAACAGATTGAAATCCCATGCCTCTCTCCCTCTAGAATGATGTTGATACTGAAGCATTTCATTGATGTTTCTTTCCACTCCAACAATAGTTGTAGTAAAATTCTCCATATTCATATTCAATGCATCCAATTCTTTTGCATACTTGTCCCACATGTCATAGCGCACAACAGTTATGTAGATATTCACTAACTTGGCTGCAAATCTTGAAAACTGGTTATCAATACAAACAGAGTAATATCCTCCCATTGAATTTTGATCTTGGTATTCACTATTAGCTTTCCATTGATAAGGATGGACAATTTGTCCAGAAGGGTGACGTACGGCGAAACCGGCCATCCCATCTCCACCTCTAACAACTTGAAAACTCACATAAAAAGTTGCTCCAGGGTTGGCATATTGGAAATAACAATCTTCTTTTCCTGGATCAATGTGCACCTTGTAGTCCATTGCTACAGCTGGCAGATTTTCATACCATGGAACAGTTATTGGAACTTGTTGGGAGAGAGAAATTTGTAAATTGCTTAGCAGAAAAACCCCTTGAAATATTAACAAAATCATGACACGTTGCACCATTTCTTTCCAAATGTCGACTCAGGTGTAATGAAGAGTGGTGGGGTTGCTGGTCTTACACTACTTGAAATTTGAAATGCTATTGCTTTTACTTTCATCTATAACAAACAAATTCCCACCACTCCACTGTTCGGTCTTTTTAATAAGGTCGTGGACACTACTATTCGGGCACATTTTCAAGAAAGCTTATTCGTTTAATTGGAATGTTTCAAGCAGAAAAAATACATAATACACAAAATATAACATCGAATTCAGTATATTAATTTTTTTTACTAGTAATGTTGTTGTTGTGTAGATGTGTCGACCTTTGTGAATCAATGACAATGACCGACATTGACAATGACAATCGACAATATGTTTGTTCTCTTTCGAAAAATGAATCCGGAACCATTTGTATCTTTCTCACAAGAAGCTGAAAAAGGTTTGAAAATTTTGAGGTTGCTTAGTGTTAGATTTCGGTAATCGCGAATAAAAATAATTAAACCAGAGCAAGTGAGCCAACACAGAGATAATAAGTGTAAGAACAACAAACAAACATAATCATTAATAACATCCCGTAGCCATCCCACACCCGCTTAAGGCACTAGCACAACACCATAACCTAAATCTCCCGGCATGGGCGAAGAAACGGGGGGCCCAGCGCCCCCCCAACCTAAACCACCGGACATCAAAATAGATAAATACAGTGAAAAGGACTCCGGCCCTTTTCTCGTAATCATTGAAAGCAAAAATAATCAAATAGGGAACCTCCACCCAATTTCGGTAGGAAGAAAACTGAAACACAGCAACACCAACGGAATCAAAAACATCACCAAAAAAGGAAGGAATAGACTAGGAATAGAATTCACTAACAGAGAATCAGCCAACAACTTCATGAACAACAAAATCCTAGAGGCAAACCAATGGGAAGCTTTCATCCCTCTCACATTAGTAACTTCAAAGGGCCTAGTCAGGGGCATAGAACTGGAAACAACCATGGAGGAACTGATAAAAGAGGGTAGATCAGCATGCAAAATTCTGGCTGCCCGAAGATTTAACAAAAAAGTAATTACTAAAGGAATCACTACCTATGAACCTTCAGAGACAGTAGTAATTACATTCCAAGGCAAGAAAATCCCAGAAAGCATAGAAATCAACTATTATGAAGCAAGAGTCCAGGTATATGTAGACCCTGTTCTACAGTGTATGAACTGCCTAAGGTTTGGTCACTCAAAAAAAATATGCAAGAGCAAAACTAGATGCCCCAGATGCACACTGGAACATGAAATCACCCAATGCAAAGAAGCAAAACCAACATGTATACATTGTAAACAAGAACATCTAGCCACATTTAAAGAGTGCCCGGAATACAACAACCAAAAAACCATTAAAGAAATGATGGCCTTCGAAAACATCTCATACTATGATGCTAAACAAAGAATGCCCAAACACACGAATTTCACTGGCAACGCACAAGATTTTCCAAGGTTAACCATCCCTCAACCATTTACTGAAACTATAGAGGTAAGTCAGAGAAGGACACACGCAAACCAGGAGACAAGGAGTACAAAGTACTCCCAGGCCGTCAACTCACGAAAAAGAAAACCATCATCCCCCCCCACATCTTATGATGTAGAGGAACATAGAAGAAACCTAATTCCCCCCCCCTGCAGAACTCCAAGAACACCCAGTATGAGGCCATACTCCCCAGTAAATGAGGGAGAGCAACCCAACATGGAAGCCCACCCCTTAAATATAGTAGACCTGCTAAGAGAAATGCTAAAAATGACAACGCTAACAGAAACAATCAGGACCAAAGTCCTGGAAGAAATTCAATCAGTAGCAAACACTTACACGCTCATAGATTCAACCAATGCAGACATGGAAACACAAGAAATAGGTCTAAGGAGCCCAGCAACGGATGGCGAATATTATTAGCACATACCCCCCAACCGTTCAAGGACACTCAAGCCTAAAAATAATCCAATGGAACATCAGAAGTGTAAACTCCAACAGAACCAACCTAACACTGATAATTCACGAGGAGAACCCGGACATAATACTATTACAAGAAACATTTCTGAAACCACACCACAACTTTAAGGAGAAGGGCTACAACATAATCAGGGAAGACAAGCCAACAGGGAAAAATGGCATAGCGATCATGTACAAAAAAGAAATGAAGAGCAACCACACTCCACTCAACCTCAAACACAAACCGCCCAATCTACAAATAATAGGATTATCTACATCCAACACTACAATATACAACATATACAACCCCCCCGGAACAAAACTCACCAAAGCATTCTTCACGGAACTCCTAGAAAACAATCCAAACCCAGTGATAGTAGGAGGGGACCTCAACTCCAAACACCTAATGTGGGGCACAAATTCCCAAGATCACAATGGCAACACCATAGTGGACATTATGGACACACACAATCTAACCTGCATGAACACAGGGGAGCCTACTAGATTAGGACTCCCGAATCAGAACACAAGCGTACCAGACATCACCTTATGTTCAGCCAACCTTATACTAAATAGCTCATGGAGCATTCACTTGGACCCAGGAAACAGCGACCACTTCCCAATAATAATAAACTTCCATCAAATAAGCACAGAAAAATACCAACCCAAACAACATAGAGGCAATTACAATTTCAGAAAGGCAGATTGGCGACAATATATGGAAGCAGCATCAATTCATCTAGTAAATAATGAAACAAACACAAACGAGGATCTTACAAACACAATTAAATCAGCAACGGAAATCGCAGTACCAAAGAAACAGTATCACCCCACAAGAAAAGAAAAAAAAATAACCCCAATCTGGTGGGACGAAGAATGTACAAATGCCATCAAGGAAAGGAAAATAAAGGTGAACAATTACAGGACAAACAGCAATGATGACAATTACCTAGCCATGAAAAAAACCATAGCAGAGACCCGAAGAATTCTCAGAAAAAAGAAAAAAGACAGCTTCATAAAATTCTGCGAAAACCTAAGCAGAGACACCAACATAGCCGAAGTCTGGAGGAAAATCAAATCCTTCAAGAACAAACAACTCTCCCACCAACCAAGAAACGAATTCATCAGCCACAACCTACAGCAATTCCTAACCCATATCACAATACCAGATATCCCCAGAGAATATGAAAAAAATACACCAGGGGCAGAGAACAGTCACCCCTTCACCCTCACAGAATTACAGACAGTACTAGAAGATAGGAAAAAAGACACAGCCCCAGGATACGATGAACTCATTTACTCCCAAATAAAACACCTTCCATTGGAAGGAAAAATCAAACTACTGAAAATATACAACAACATAACAAATGGAGGACACATCCCTCAGGAATGGAAAACACAAATCATCTGTCCCATACTGAAACCGGGAAAGGATCCAAACCACATCAGTAACTACAGACTCATAGCTCTCTCATCATGCATATGCAAGATACTAGAGAACCTTATAAAAAACAGAATAGAATACCAAATAGAAAATATCAATCTACTACATCCCCTCCAATGCGGTTTCAGGAAAGGAAAAGGCATCACAGAAAACTTGGTATGGCTCACTACGACTATATATAGTGCTTTCACACAAAATAAGAAGGTCATGGTGGCCCTGTTGGACCTAACGGCAGCATACGACAACGTTATTATCCCAATCCTCACAAAGAAACTCTCAGGAATGAACATCCCACAAAATCTTATCAACATTACAGAACAATTACTAGGCAACCGATCGATATATATCAGGGACAGCTCGACAGGCTTGATGGACGGACCAGGAGAGGTACTTAAGGGCCTACCACAAGGGTCGGCCCTTAGTCCACTGCTGTTTAACCTCTACCTAAAAGGCATAGAACAGACCATGGAAAAAGGAGTAACGATGCTGGGATATGCCGACGACCTCACACTGGTAGTAACAGGATATGATAATGAGAAAATGGGCACAGCTATGAACAAATCCTTGGAAACCCTCGAAGATTGGATTACAGAACATGGACTGGACATCTCCCCCAACAAATCGGCCTGCATACTCTTCCAGAAAAGAAAGGACAGACAACGGATACCGGACATAATGATGAAACAAAACACAATCCAATGGAAGAATCAGGTTAGGTACCTAGGAGTGACACTAGATACGAAAATGAAACTCACCGCTCACATCGACAACATATGTGCTAAAGCGCGAAAAGGACTGGATGTAATGAAAGCCGTGACTGGAGTAAAATGGGGGGCTGACCCCAAGACCATGAGCATGATCTACAAGGGTCTAGTAAGATCACACCTAGATTTTGGCACAACCCTTATAATAAACACATCTAAACAAAACCTTCAGAAAATGGACAAAATTCAATATCAAGCACTAAGGATAATACTAGGGGCGATGAAATCGACGCCTACTAACTCCCTCCTTGCAGAAGCAGCAGAACTACCCCTCAAATACAGAAGAATATGGTTAGCTAGTAAAAACATCCTAAAAAACTTGAGCATCGCTGATAACCCTATAACAACTGCACTCATTAATATGTACTCGCACCATGCTCTCAGCACAGAAGCCAGACTCACAGAAATACCCCTCATTGAAGCGCTAGACAGGACCCTCCCAAACATAAACAAAATCAAAAAAGACAGCGGACTCCCATGCTTTACCTTTGAATATGAAACCCAAATGTATCAAATACAAAATACCATTCTGAAATTAAACAAGAAGGCAAACGATAACCAGAAAGATTTCCTGAGAATCATCAACGAAGAGTGGAAAGGCAGTACACTTATATACACAGACGGCTCACATGAACCAAACACCCATCAGACAGGAGTAGGAGTCTACATACCCAGCAGAAACTACTCAGCAGCACTGAGAGTTCAAGACCACACAA